GGCCAAGCAGGGCAGGCATGATTCAGAAACATGTGGCTCTCATTTCCCCTGAATCACCCACGACTCAGGGAGGCCAGGGCAGTGAGAGACAAAGACGCGAGAGCCGCACCGGAGACGGGCTTCTCGCAGCCCAGCCGGGGCGGAGCGCGGCCCATGGGCGGGCGCGGCTGCCCGGGAATCGCCACTAGGCCCCGCCCGCGGCCGGAGCTCAAGGTCACTAGGTGCGGTCACGCCGGCCCTCGGCAGGCGGCCCCGCAGGCGGAGACAGAGGCAAACGGACCGTGGCCCTTCGAGAGCACTCGCGCTGTCAGACCTTGGGGGTTACCCCCACTTTGTAGGGGAAGAAATGGGCTAAGGAATTTGCCCAAGGTCACAGTGCGGGTAATGGTGAACAGGGCATGAGCCTGAGCCGTTTGGCTGCAGATAAGAGGGGTGTGGAGAGCGGAGAGGTTGGGGACTGGGGCCTTCGGGGAGCAGGGGAGAGAAGGCCCCGAAACAGCCGACCCCAGGGCGGAGAGAGTGGAGACAGCTGAGCCACTGGAGGGTCTGACAGTCTGAGAGAAATGCAGACAGCAAGGGGGGTGAGCAGGGTCTGGAAGGAGGCGAACAGGGGTCCTGGGAGAAAGGCGAGCCCAGGGGCAGAGGACGCCCCTGGGGAGTGGCCCTCTTCCCACTGTCCTCTGGCAACACCCCACCTCATTCCTGCTCACCCCACCCAGCCTCCTGTGGGGAAGGGGAGGAGACTCCGGCCTGCGCCCTAGGGAGGGGGTCGCCCACATGCCCAGCTCCAAAGCCCCCCGCCCCTCCCCCAGCCTCGGGGCTCAGCTCCCAAGGTCTTAGGTGCCCCCGGCCCCAAGGCAGGACCTGCCCTGGGCGTGACTCCGCGCCTCTCCCTAGGCTCCCGGACCCTGGAGTCCTCGCTGTCCGGCTCTGAGGAACAGGAGCCCGTGGAGTACAAGTCCCTGCAGTGGTTCGGGGCCACAGTTCGAGCCCACGGCTCCTCCATCTTGGTGAGGGCCGGGCTCTGTGGGCTGGGGGCTCAGGGGGCCTGGCCCAGGCCTGGGGGGGGCGGCCCTGTTGAGCCAAGGCTGAAGCCCACCTCTGGGCCCAGGCCTGCGCGCCCCTGTACAGCTGGCGCACGGAGAAGGACCCGCTGAACGACCCGGTAGGCACCTGCTACCTCTCCACCGACAACTTCACCCGCATCCTGGAGTACGCACCTTGCCGCTCAGGTAGGGCCGCCAGCGGCCATCTCTCACCCTCCCGGCCCGGGGCCTGGCCTTCCAGGCGGATGATCCAGGAAGGGCCGCTCCCTCCTCCGGCCCCTCCCCGTCCTCCCCCCTCGCCCCCCTTCCCACTGCCTTCTCCCTCACAGACTTCAGCTGGGCGGCTGGACAGGGTTACTGCCAAGGGGGCTTCAGCGCTGAGTTCACCAAGGTGAGGGGCTTCACCAGGGGCGTGGCTGGGGGTGCGGGGGACTGCAGACCAGGTGGCTCACGTCTCCCCCTCCCCCCCAGACTGGGCGAGTGGTTCTGGGTGGCCCAGGAAGCTATTTCTGGCAAGGTGAGTCCTCCCTCCGCTACTGCTAAGCCCCCTGCTTGGCTCCCGCCTCTGCCTAGTTCCTGGCCTGGGATCATGGTCCTTCCCCGCCCCCACTCCAGTTCTCTCCGCCTTCTTGAGACGCACGTCCTCTCACACCACCTTCCCTTGCAAGGTCCAGATTCCTGAAGTCTTACCCGATCAGGCCTGATGCCTCCTCCATGGTCCCCGCCCCTCCCCTTCCCCAGGCCAGATCCTGTCGGCCACGCAGGAGCAGATTGCAGAATCCTACTACCCCGAGTATCTGATCAACCTGGTTCAAGGCCAGCTGCAGACTCGCCAGGCCAGTTCCATCTATGACGACAGCTACCTGGGTAAGGGGGGGGGGGGACAGGGAACCTCCCAGCCACTCAGACCCTCGTCCTTCCTCACCCTGCGTGTCCCTCCACAGCCTGGCATCGCTGCCTGAGCTCGGGAGGGCAGGCGGACGGAGAGGGCCAGGTCCTGGCGGAGAAGGGAGGGAGGGATGAGAGGCCAGGTAGGTGGGGCGCAACGCAGGGACCCTAATATCCACCCCCCCACCTCTCCCCGCAGGGTACTCCGTGGCCGTGGGTGAATTCAGTGGCGATGACACGGAAGGTAAGTGTACCCACAGGCAGGGGGCAAGGGAGGGCCGAGGGAGACCGGAGCGGGGACCCCGAACCTGAGACACCCGCCTTTGGTGGCTGACCCTTATCTCCGTTCCCACCCACGACTTTCTCTTCTCTTGACAGACTTCGTGGCTGGTGTGCCCAAAGGAAACCTCACTTACGGTTATGTAAGCCCCAGCCTGACACCCCCCCCCCCCCGAGAGCCTCAGGCAGCAGGTTGTGAGGGTTTCCGGGCTGAGAGGGCCGTGGGCTCCAGGGTGGAGACGCGATCCTGTGTCATCTCCTCATGCCCCGCTTCAGTCCATCAAAGCCCCAAGCCCACTTAGCCCCTCGGAACCTCATTCTTCTCTGTAGAATGGGGTAATAATAGTTCTGACCTCAAAGGCTCTTGCGAGGGTGCAGTGAGCTAATGCGTGTGAAGCACTTGGGAATGTTCGGCAGGTATCCTGGTAGCTGCTATTATTAGACCGTGACAAGTGCTTTAAAAAGGAGACAGATAAGAATGCCATTGCGGTTGGTTTATTAGCAGCATTTACTGAGGCAAGAAGTAACAGATAAGGAGATGAATGAGACCTCACGCCCCATCTGATCAGGTCTGCCATCCAGCTCGCAAGATGAGACGCGAGACCCACGGGGCTGTCTGGGTGGAGTCTCCCTTCACACGCCCCTGACATGGTCTCCCCAGGACCTCCGCTCTGTACCGCGAGCTTATGGGGGTAGATATTATCACCCACATTTTGTACCATGAGCTTATGGGGGTAGATATTATCACCCACATTTTGTACGGCCTCGCAAGTGAAGCTGGCCCCGGGGGCTGACTGCAAAGAGATCTCGGGCCAGATCTGCCGTCTTCCGAAGACTGCAGCTTTCCTGCACCCTGACACATTCCGGAAAAGTAGTGAAGGTGATCTAGCGTAGGGGAAGTCCTACCCTCCTTTCCAACTGTGGGGATGGATCACAGAAGGTTCTAGAAAAGATCGGTGAAGCGGAAGCCCGAGTATCCTCTAGGGGACATGAGGTCCTGAAGAAAAGCCATCAGTGCAGTGCCCAGAGAAGCAGCCCGCGGGCTGGTGCTGGAGGACCTCGACACCAGCCGGACGCCGAGGCTGCGGGGCCCAGCGGCCTCCCTCTCCGCCTCCCTGGGGGCCTCAGTCCCCTTGCTGGGCCAGGGGAGGGGAGGGCGGGCGTGCCCCAGGCCCTGTGGGCCACAGGTGGAGAGGGCGGGCGGGCGCGTGCAGGGGTGCCGCAGCTGGGAGTTACTGAGCGCTTCCGCTCACCAGCAGCCCGGCTTTAGACTCTGCGGGGCGGAGAGCCGGGCAAGCCCTGCCCCAGTCTTCCGTCGGGGGCATGGAGCTGGGCACAGCCAGGTCCACGTGAGCCCTGCCAGCGTTGAGTGACACGGATACCGGTGGAGCTGCCGTGGCTGAGACGGGACGAGAAGGCAGAGCCCGGGGCGTGGGGGGCAGGGCCGGCCCTAGAGTGGCCGCCCGGGCCCTGCGCTCCTCCCCGGTCCGTGGGGTGCCTGGCAGTCCAGGACCGAGACCGTGTCTCCTCACCCCCAGGTCACCATCCTTAATGGCTCAGACATCCGGTCCCTCTACAACTTCTCAGGGGAGCAGGTGAGAACACCCCTCTGCAAGCCGCATGCCCTTTGCCAACCGAGCCCAGGCCTGACCCGGGAAACTCGGCCCAGATTCTCAGGCCCCTGGAAGGCCTGACCTCCCTGGAGAGTCTCTGGTCAGCCTGTTAGTCCTGCTTACTGAACCCTACGTATTTTTTTTTAGATTGATTCATTTATGCACACAAGAACTGGGGTACAGGGGGAGGTGAGAGGACTCCCCAGAGACAGAGTGGGGAGCAGAACAGGCAGAATGACTGAAACACTGCTGAGGGGAGCAGCGGGGAGACAGGAGAGGGCTGCTGTGCCCTGAGGGTCCCTCCCTGGCCGGGGATGGAACCCGTGCTGCAGTGGTTGGCAGGAGCGTGATAGTGTCTTTAACGCTGCGCCCCCGGCGAGGCCCTGACCCCTAGTTCTGACCCCCCAGATGGCCTCCTACTTCGGCTATGCAGTGGCTGCCACGGACGTCAATGGGGACGGGTGAGTGGTGGGACAGGCCACGCGCCACGGTGCCGCCCCAGATCCGGGCGGGAAGGGGGTGCGGGGCGGCAGAAAGGAAGGGGGGCTTTTCCAGGTCTTTCCTCTGGATCCTGCTCACTCATGCAGTCACCTTCCCCGAACAGGGAAGTTGACAGCTGGACACCAGAGACTCGGGGACTCACCTGGTGGGAGGGAGCGTGGGCTGCAGGCAGCCAGGCTTTCCGCTCCGGCTCTGGGTGGGCAGGGGAAGAGGCGGCCGGGTGCCAGGATGTCCCCTGTGCCCAGGCTGGATGACTTGCTGGTGGGAGCACCCCTGCTCATGGAGCGGACGGCCGACGGGCGGCCTCAGGAGGTGGGCAGGGTCTACGTGTACCTGCAGCGCCCCGCTGGCATGGAGCCCACGCCCACCCTCACCCTCACTGGCCACGATGAGTTTGGCCGGTTTGGCAGCTCCTTGACCCCCCTGGGAGACCTGGACCAGGATGGCTACCAGGGTGAGCGGAGGAGGAGTCGGGGGCCCGGGGAGGGGGCGGTGCCGCGGTGCCCAGACTCCTGGGACCTCCCCAGCATAGGCTCGGACCTTCACCCAAGTCTTGGGGTTTGAACAAATTACAATCCTGGGGGTGTCCAGTGAAAAAACAGGGACCCTGGGCCCCGGGGTGTGGTAGAAATTTAGGCTCTGGAGCTCCTGCCTGCTGACTGCTGTGTGTGTGTCCTTGCAGATGTGGCCATCGGGGCCCCCTTTGGGGGGGAGACCCAGCAGGGAGTGGTGTTTGTGTTCCCGGGGAGCCCGGGGGGGCTGGGCTCTAAGCCGTCCCAGGTCCTGCTGCCCCTGTGGGCCCCCGGCCACAGCCCTGACTTCTTTGGCTCTGCTCTTCGAGGCGGCCGAGACCTGGACGGCAACGGATACCCTGGTGAGTTAGATCCCTGGCGAGCCGAGCCTGGCCCCTCTCACCTTCGGGTGCCCCAAGCCCAGGGTCCGGACCCCTGGGGGGGCTGGGCACCCCCCCTCCCCTAAGCTCCTGGCGCAGTTCTGACGTGGCGCCACCAGGTGGCGGTATCCTCACTTCAGCCTCCTGCAGTCAAACACGAAGAGGCATTGAGGGACCCTGATTGGGGGCTCGCCAGAAGGGGTAATTTCTTGTCTTCTTGCAGATCTGATCGTGGGGTCCTTTGGTGTGGATAAAGCTGTGATGTACAGGTATGAACTCCTGGTGGGGGCAGCCAGGAAAGTGGGGACTGGAGGGCGTCTCAGGGGGCTGCATGTTGGGCCTGTTGGGCGTCTCAGCGGCTGCATGTTGGGGCCGGGGGGCGTCTCAGCGGCTGCATGTTGGGGCCGGGGGGCGTCTCAGGGGCTGCATGTTGGGGCCGGGGGGCGTCTCAGGGGCTGCATGTTGGGGCCGGGGGGCGTCTCAGCGGCTGCAT